ATACTCGACTTCTTAACAACCAACTATAACTTGACAATCGATAATCGAATATGGCCAACCGACAGTGAACAACAACTATCGACACTCAACAATCGATTACTTGCACTCAGTTAGACCATAAATGATTCAACAAGTCCAAAAACTGACCAAAAGCCACAAACAGAGCCAATTACGCAAAACTCATTAAAATAAAATTAAAGTGGGCAGTGGGAATTCTTAGAGACAAGATGTGGGCCATAAATCTGCTGGCTTAGTCGCACAAAAGGGTTAAGGACAACGTCTCGGGGTTTTGTGAAATTAAAAAAAAAAGTGGGAAAAGGAAAAGGAATACCAGGCGCAGCCAGGCGACGTTATAAATCAAAGTCACGGGCTTTATGCAAGCCAAGGAATTTGTAGCCGACAGACAGAGAGAAAGAGAGAGAGAGCGGAAGAGAGTGAGAAAGAGAGGGAAAGCATGCCCCACCCAATGAAAACCAATTGGATCCAAATCCCAGTTGCTGCTTTTCCTGTTTCCTGTTGCTTCATGGCACATTGTTGCTGCTGGCATTTGAATAAAGTTGCAACAATGTTTTGTACATAAGCACAATAAGTGCCGCTGACATGTTAAGGCTACAGCGCGCAAGATTTATGGCCAAATGGCGCCAATTTCAAAAATTGAATTTTTAGCAACCTCGTTAGGCCGGGCCAGGCTAATCAGAGGCGCATTTTACAAGTTCTTTTTGAACACATGCCGCAAATCCCTAATGCCTAATGCGCTTATTTGCTATACTGCAAAAAAACAACACAGAAAAACACAATAAAAAAAGGAGAAAAAAAGCATTTACCACTTGACGAACAAGTTTTGATTAAATTGGATTGGAAATGCTCATAACTGTCACACATGCTACAGAATAGGAGTGAGAGTGAGAGTGTTGACAGTATTTGACAAGTTACAAAGCGAAAAACCACCCAAAAATCTTGTGCAATTTTTCAATAAACTCATCAAAGCAGCGGCTTTGAACCCTCCACAGGTCCACATGTCCTGCGGCAGCTCGTAAACGCAATTTGATTTATGAACAATGCCCAGAATTGAAAATTGTCCCATGGTCACTTTAATTTTTGAGTTATGCGACTTTAAAAGCTACAAACACGCACGTAATCCTGGAAAAAGGGACGTGTGCTACGTTCGCCGGAAGTGAATTATGTGAGGTTATGTAATGATGACACTGACACACACACACACACTCAGAGAGCTGTGGTACAGTTGTCAACGCTAGAGCGGAGGCAACTGTACTTTTCGTAAATAAGCAAATGCCACGCGTCGCTTGTTAGCCGCCTCCGACTCCGACTCCAACTCCCATAAAGTTAAAGAGCAGCAATCGGTTCAACCCTCATGACCAGTCATCCACATTGTTCCCGTTGTTGTTGTTGGATGTTGAAGTGCCTTCATGGTTTTAGTGTCAGCTTATAGTTGTGACAATCCGTATAGAGCTGGTGATGGCTATCGGACAAGTCCTTTTGGTTGCTGCTGCTGCTGCTGCTGTTGCGTGAAAGTGCGAAATATGCTCAACAAGCTAACCACTGCAGCAACGGAACTATTTCATTTAACTCATTATACCCTAGGTACATTTAAGTGCGGTAAGACGGGTATGATGCTATACGAGGATGCTTCCTAATGGCATTTAGTATGTAAGGAAGTATATATATATAGCAGAGTGTATTTCTTTCCAAGCCTGAAATGTTCAACAAGTTTTTATATAATATATACTATTATATATACAATTATTATATTAATATTTTTAATTATATTATATATACAATTATTATATTAATATTTTTAATTATATTATATATATAATTATTATATTAATATTTCTATTCACTTAAATAATATAGCGCTTGGAAAGGTTTAACCTTACATATTTTTAAAAAAAAATTTATCTGGATAGCAAGAGCTTCTACATGTTAACCAAAACTAACTACATGGATACCAAAGATAACTCTTTAAGTCTTGGGTTAAAACACTTGGGAAAGTTATCATCTACAGCTCGAAGATTTAAACAATTTCATATATACTTTTATATGTTGATAACATCACAATATAATAAATTTCATTTCTAGAGCCCCTTATGGGTTTGGGTGCCTAGCAATGTTTTTATGTGTTAAAAATATGGCACACCATTTCAAATGCTTCTATATATAAAATATATATATATATATATATATATATATATATAACGCAAATTGTACATACCATTATCTGCCATCCGCTTCAGTCACAAATTGAAATAAGCTGCAAAATTGAAATCATCTAGGTCTAGGTCTAGGGTATTATCTAAATGTAGAACTAGCTAGAAGCACCTTAAGTTTTCGAATATTATATTTAATGTTTCTAAATATTATATATATAGAACAAGAATATGCCATATCTGCCTCTACACGCCTGCACAATCCGAAGGCCTTGGGAATCTGCCAGCTTCACACAGTTCAACTCAAAAGGTTTACATTTTTCCTAGTGCAACTGTATCTATTTATTATATAGATAACATGAATAAGTCATACCAGTCCCTATGCGCCTTCAAAATTAAAAGCTAAGTCCCCCTAAGACCTTAAGGTATCCATTCGTCTAAAACACTCCAACTAGTCCTCTAGCCGTCCGCTACTGACACTCGTCATTTGCATAAATTATCTACTTGACCAAACTGGACTGAACATACCACGCATACTTGAGGCGCACTGTCACAGAACCCTTTCGGCTGAGCTGGACCCACTTTGATCAGTTGTGCAATTATGTGAAATTGTTTTTTAATTAAATTATATGAGGAAAATATGTGCCATGGCTGCCTGCACCTGCTGTGGCACACAATTAAAACTGAAAATGGGAAACTGAAAATTGAAAATGGAAAACTGAAAACCGAAAACCGAAAGCTGAATGCACCAACTAGCCAAAAGTTGTTCATCCTCCAGCGTGGTATTCGAATCGCGTGCTTTTTCCACTGTATTTTTCATGGGTTTTCGATTTTAATTGAAATTTATGCGCACATTCCACCCGTTGAGGGGTGGGGCAGCCAGTCGGTCTTGGGCCATGGTCACGTGTTCGCCAAAAAAGAGTGTTGCAAATTGTTGGTAACAACGTTGGGCGTGGCACGCCCACAGTGTCAGCCATGATTTACGTGCCGCACTTTTGTTATTTATGTCGCATGCAAAAACATTTTGTTGTCATTTTCATTTTTATTCTTAGTGTAATTCTGTGTGTTCATGTGTAAAATTTGAAATTGTTGTAAATAATTACCCTAATGGCTCGCTGACTGGTTGGCTCGTTGGCTGGTTGGCTGGTCGGCTGGTGGAGTGGTGGGCTGGCTGCCGCCCAAGCCAATCCCCGCCCACTTTCAACCCCTGGCTACAGTTGCGACCAGCAGTTAATTTGTGAGCCAGCATCGTCGCCATTTGTAATTAAGCTTAAACCGTTAATATTTTAGTCAGATAAGAGGCAATACCCTTACCCAAAATAAAAAAAAAAAAAACAACTCAGAAAGTTGCAATCGGGCTTAACTGACTTCGTAATACTTGTTCATGAACAAGAACTAAATTTATGCAGGTTTTAAATATTTTTTGATAGGGCGACTGTAGAAGAAATCAACTTTGATCGAAGCAAGACTAAATAATTATTTCTCTGCAATTGTAAAAGATATATAGCTTATTAGTATTGACCCAAAATATTTGTAGATATATAAAATTGGATAGATTTGTAGATAAGATAAAAAGATATTTGCTGCACAAGAATCAAGAACTAAAGCGCTCTATAGAAGTCTTGGCAGGTAGATCTCTAGTGATCCTAGAGATATTAGAGACTTAGACTAAAATCTTGTTAATATTTCCCTCTCTACAGATATTAAAGATATTAAAGACATTAAAGATAGATCTCGCTTTAGACTGAAATCTTGGCAAGTAGATCCCTTGTGATTCTCTCCGCAAATCCTTTAAATGTAAATTCTCGACAAAACCAATATACTGTGTTCACTTTCGCAACGAGCATAGCCCCGTCATAGATTTATGTGAACGCCAGGGCAAAAGTTGTGCCAAATTGTTGGAAAAACATTTCACGGTTCGGCGAAAGCAAAACTCCTCCGCCTTGGGTGTTAATTCGGGGCCAGAAGCTCCATCTATGATATTCTCCACTTCTTTTTTATCGGCACTGCGCTTTTGCTCGTCGAAAATGAGAATGAAAATGGAAACGAAAATGAAAACTCTCGACTTGTTTGTTTTTGTTTGCAATCGCAGGAATTTAATTAGCCCGCCAAGTCGTTAGCAAGATTCGAAACGTAAGATTCGGTAAGTTATGCATGCGATTCAATGGCTGGGAAGGAGTTGAGGGGCGAGCGCTTCTGGAGGCAGCAAATATTTGGGCTCATTGACTGCAGGTTTATTACGGAGTTCAGCTAAGAATATGTTAATTATAAACAGACTATTTATGGGATGAGATGAATACGGAGGAAGAATAATAAAATATGCTATGAGAAAAACTAAAGATAAAGATATTACGAATTTTGAATATCATTGGATTATGTATGAACATTTTCGAATTCGATTTTTGTGGAGTTATATACAACACATCTCGTACATACATAAGCATAACATTTTAATGATTGAAGTACAATAGAATAATATAAAAATATAAAAATATAAATGATATAATATAAAAAAATATAATATAATAATATAATATATAATATAAAAAAATATTTTTCTAAAATAAATTATAGAAAATCAAGAAAATTAAATAATTAATTAAAGTATAGCATCATTTTAAAAAACTATGTTAAAAAATTTTGTTATCGTATAAAATTTCTCTTCAAATAATTCCATAACTTCTTTTAATACATCTTTTAATTAACATTTGGATAAAATGGGTCATATCAGATCACTTTATCTGCTTTATTCCAGTTCTAAACATATATTTCTTAAATAATTTAAATACAATCGTAAACATAAATTGAATAATAATTTATAAACACTCCCCTTCAACTCAATTAATTATCAAAAAGTTAATTAAAATACATTCAACTTATTCAATATACGTAAATAGCTCCAGCTTAGCCAATGTGAATATCTGCGAAGAGTTTGAAAAGTATATAAAAAATATGTAAATTAGCTTAGCTTCGTTATAACTCACTATTGTGATGAATGTTTATATTTATTTTTGGCAATTGGAAGCGGGGCTTTGGCTTGCGCTTTGGCGCTGCTAAAACATCGCCGAGGCATAAGCAGCAGATAGCAACAAAAAGCCACTCGAACTTGAAGTATTTCATTGCGTAAATTGTTGGTGAGAGCTCAAGCTGTCGCAGTTTGAAATCACTTGAAAGACTATTTCTTAGACAGCGTTGCGAGATTCTTAAATCATTGCGAATCTTTTGCAAATTGTACTGCGATGACCTTTCAGCATCTCTATTATCAGCTTGGAATTTACGTTGAACAGGCAACAGCAAGAAAGAGAAAGTAAATCCCCTGCTCGAAATGTTTACAAAAAACCCAATGTCTTAACCCATTGAGAGCCAGCGGGCATTCTCTAATATAGAAATCATAGACAAAAGACTTCAAGTGCACAAATGCGTGAAACAAGCATTGAGTCGGGTCTTAACCCTCGACATGCCCTTGCTATACACCAAAAAATCATAACTGTTCATTATCGACAACAGCAAAAAGATGTTACGACCCCTGTCGAAGTGCTCATAACTTCAAATTTTTTAGTAAATAATGGAAACAAAGCAAACCCTTGACAATTATAAAAAAATCCATTTATGATCATATATGGCCAAAGATATTGTTATGCAGTATAAAAAACAAGCAGTTTGTTAATATTGTCAGTTTATCATCTATTTTTTTTATTTATTTATAATTATAAATGATTTTTACTTATTTCCAAATAATTTTATTAACAAAACTAAATTAACTTATAAAAACTTAATTCAACTGCTTGAAATTTTAAGCTCAGCCAATGCGCATATCTGCAAAGAGAAAAAGTGTGGAAATTATTATATTATTGATAAATTATAAACTTATTTTTATGACTAATGTTTATATTGATGTTTGGCAATTCAAACGGTAATTTTAGTTTCAAATCGAGCTGCCAAAATATCAACAAGAACAAGAAAAAGCCACTCAAAAAAGAATTTCATTTCGAATATTAAATATTATTAAACAAAGCTATTGAGAGCCTGAACTGTCACAGCTGAATTGAAAGACTAATTCTTATGTCGCGAATCAAGATGCTTAAATACGTTGGGAATTCTTAGAAAAACGAAAATGTTTAATAACCTTCTGGAATCTCGATGATCAGTTTAGAATAATTATTGAGCAATGCGCGTTGAGCATGAAACGGAAAGTGAATGCCCTGGACAACAATCTGGGAGAAAGCCTCAGTTCTTTAACCCATTGAGCAAGCATGGGGTCTGCTTAATGAATCAACTAATATAAACATGCATAAATTGCATTATAAGCGACCTAAATAAAAGATTTTAAGTGCTCAAACAAGCATTGATGCCGCCTCACCCCTCGACATGCGGCTCGTCCTGCGTTAAATAGCCATAACTATTCATTATCGACATATAAACGATGTTACGGCCCCTGTCGAAGTGCTCATAACTTCAGATTTTATATTAAATAAACGAAACAAAACGAACCCTGGCAAAAAGAAATGTCACGCAGGCAAGGGCAGGGTTGGGAGCCCAGGCAGCGAAGGCACACATATGCACGAGCATCCTTCTGACCCACAAAATTGAATATGTACATATATATATATATATATATATAAATACATATTTGGGAATGCATGTGAACCCTTTCTTTTGGTGCTACATCCTGCGTAATTCAATATTTAACTATACGAGATTTATGGCCACAGGGGCTAGCGAAAAGCTTCCGGCGCCGTCGTCGTCGTCATCCTCTTTTTTCTTTTTTATTTGTATAAAGTATAATTTTTGATTTAGTGCGATTTTTGTGTCAACGCTGAGCCCTGCTGTCGCGCAAAGGGTTAACGCAATAGTTTTGCAATATCCAATGTGTTAAAAGTGGAAAATACGTTTCTGTTTGCATTGGCCAACGGCGGATATGAGACCACATGCTGGTTGTTATTGTACCAGTGCCAGGCAGGCCACGCCAGGCCAGACCAGGCGGGTGGCTTAGGTTGAAGGAGGTTACGAAAAGGGAAAACAATGGCATTTATTGCCATGTTGAACGTTTATTTGATTTTTCACGCACTTAACAACAAATGCGAAACTTAAAAACAAACAACAAATAATTTGAATAGAAAGTATCTGACCTGCAGATACCCTGTTTGCTGCATTTTACATAAAAGCTTTAAACAGTTACGAATATATGATTAAATTGAGAGTACCTGACTTGCAAATACCCTATACGGACTTTATACAAAACACAAATATTATTTATAACTTAATTTCAATTGACACTAGACTTACAGATACCCTCTTCGCAGTCCTTTCTACAGAATAAGAATACATTGCCTAATATCTGATATATACATAAAAGTACTTCATACCACAGCTGTCAAAAGTAGTCGGTTAGAGACTACCGATAGACTTAAAGGCACAAGCTATGTACATATATATGTAGTCAACGATTTCTGTTACATTATGAGAGCAGCAAAATTCCCTTTACTAAGCAACTACAATGGGTATAAGGCATCAACCACGTTAGAAGCGAGACTTGCGCGTAAAAATTTATTTTTATTATTATGTAAAATATATCAGAGAGAAGCAATAGCAGCACCAGTGGCAGACAGTAGAAAGTCAAAAATTCAATAGACGCATGGATGGCAACAAATTGCTTTGTTTGTCAACCTTCTCATTGAATGCGTGTGGGAATTAGTTGAGGGAAAGCGCCCACGCGCTTATCAAATGGGGTTGGCGCAGCGACAGGATGCAAATGCCAGTTGATAAGGCGTTAAAAATGCTTTGCCAAAAACCAATTTGCCGAGCAGAAAATTTGCATATGAGTATGTTATATGTGCTATATGCTGGCAGCTGGAAGAAGTACGTAATCAAAGGGTTGCGTACGGCCGGAAGCGAAGGGCGTGAAAATTTATTGCAGGTTGCATTAAATTTAATTTGAAGCGTGCGCGGAAACTTTAAACTGTGGCGCTTCTTCCGCGATACAAAAAAGCTGTTTTGAAATTGCTGATTGAGTTACCTGAGTGTCCTTATCATTGGCGTCCCTTCATCTCCTCGATTTGCTTGAGCAGCAACTGCATACGATCCTTCATCAGGGGCTGGCCACGCTGTGTGCGCTTGCTGATGACTTTGGTCTTCTCCAGGCGTTGCTTCTTGTATGCCTTGATACGTGCCTCCTTTTCGGCCTTGATCTTTTCACGTTCCGCCTGCGCCTGTGCAGCCTTTTGTTTCCGTATCATATTCCGTATTTCAGGTTTGTTTGGTTTGTTGTCCTTATAAACAATACAAAAAAAATTTTGACAACTTGTTACTTTAGTGCTATTGTTTTCACATACCGACTTCTGCAGTTTTATCTTGTCCTTTTGCTTGAAGTTGGGCTTCTGCTTTTGATCTGCTCTTGCAGGTTTTTTGTGAAATTTGCCTTGGTTCTTTTGCGGTTTCGGCTTCATTGTTTTGCAAAATACTTTTATAAACACAGCGGCACGTGGGAGAAACAGCTGATTACAAACATTTGCCTACTTTACAGCACTGCTTGGTAAAATTTATCGATAAATTTATGTTAAATTTAGTACATTTATATAGTTGCCGCTCGCGTGGACAAATAACTTTTAATTATATTGTATTGCAATGAGTTTAGCTGCAATTAAACAAAAGGAAGGGAAAGCCAAAAAGAATGTACTGCCCAAGCTACGCACTATATTGGCGAATCCATATAAACAGCACAGGTTAGTCAATTCTAATTTAACTTTCATGTTCAGCAAACTAAGACAAATAATCCGTTTCAGTCCCGTGTTGCCCGACAATGAGATGCTGGAGCTGCAAAACATATTAAAAACGGCATTAAACGAAAGTGAACACACACAAAAAACATTTGTGACACATCACCACATACAGCTGGGCCTAGAAAGCTCTCTACGCGCAATTAATGGACGACGTTTCTCTTGCGTTTTTATCTCTCTCAGCTTAAGACCTTCCCATCTAGTGCGCCTTATAGCAACCACAGCTGGGGTCAAAGCTCCAACAGCTCCCATCTATGCGCAGCCCAAGTTGGAGGACCTCACACATGAGCTATTTGGCGTGCGAGCGCTCGCACTAGTATTGCCGTTAGACTTAAATAGCATAAGCTCTAAATTGGCTAAATGGGTGGATGTTCGAAGAAAACCTTTAGTTCAAAAATGCGTCAAAATTTTCTCACCAAAAACTACAAAAAAACGAAAACCAATAGAACAAGCTCTGAAAAATACATCAGTTGAACCACAAGCGACAATAACAACTGCAACAGGAGAAAAGGAATGGAGGGGTGACTACATATCATGTGGAAATGATGGATCCATTCGGATAAGCCAACTAGATGCGCAGACAGAAGCAGAACAGTTGAGCATAGCCCTTAGTAAGCTTGGCAAGAAAACCGAACACAAAACTAAAATAGTTAGTGTCAAATCAACAAAGCAAGAGGAAATAACAGCATTGCCAAGTAATGAGTCCATGGAAATAGATGCAACTGAAGAAATCGAAGACGATGAATTTCTGCCTACTGAATTGACAAATTATCAGCCGCTTACCCAGCATCAGATCTGCTCGAATCCAAACAAGAAACCCAAAAAGAAACGAAACAAAAACAAAAAGCCAAAAAACCAACCGCCACAAAACAAAAATAACTGACGGTTGGCAACGCCAACCAAACAGCTGTTGAATTTTAGGTTATGTAGAGTTTATATACTTTTGGATTGTTATCGTAATTTTAAAAGGCCGCATCAAAATGCTGCGAAGCATACGGCAAATAGTACGAATAAGGACCTTTTTAACTCCTCCAGTTTTTAATTTAATCAACACATCAGCAACGGCGGCACTGAGAGTGTGCAACCAAGCATCATTGCACACAAGTTCAGTTTCATATAAATATGACAAAAAATCATCTCGAAAGTCGAACGACATTGATTCGGACGATGAGGCAGATGATGAATTTAAGGATGAACGTGATTCAAAAGTGGTTAAAACCAAAGTAAACTCACTGCGTGCGGATTTACTACTAAAATCCGGACTAGGCATGGCCAGAAAGTAAGTACACAAATCAGAAAACAAATTGTGCTTAACAAAATTGCCCAATATTTATAGTAAAGTTGAAATGAATTTCTATGAGAGCAAAATCCGTGTAAATGGAAAGAAATTGGCGAAAAAGAGTGAACAGGTGAGTTACGGTCGAGCAGTACAACCCCTTCAGTCACATCATGTTATTGTTTATTCTACCCGCAGCTCGACGTTGGCGATGAGATTGATGTCATACGCGGCTTCAGTCAGGCAAATCCCTCACATTTGGTTATCGCACGTGTTGTTATACTCTCCGCCGGAGAGCGTGATGACGGACTCAGTGTGAATTTGCGTCGTTACAAGTCGATGTTGATAGAAAACTACAGTGGCCCCAATGCCTACAAATCCTCGGAACCCGTCCAACACTAAGCCACAAAAACGAAGGAATATATTCAATGAAAATCTATTTTATTTCGGCATGCCCTAATATTTACATATGTGTAAACACATGTCTTAATTAGTTATTCAGTGAATCTTCTTATCAGCTTCCAATTACGTCGTTACCAAACGCGACATTTCTCGGTTATCGGATTCATTGGGCTGCCACGCTCGCAATTGTAGGCTTGCGCAAAGTCCTCGTTGTTGGTGACGGCACCAATCACTCTATACTTGTCCATGGGATGTTCGTTAGTCAGCTCCTCCCAATAGTGCTTCTCCTCGTAGTCGGCACACCAAAGCTGCGCAAAGCCGACGAAAAACAATTGCTCCGGCGAGAGATCCAGGCCAGGCATCTGCTCACTCCTATGCACATACGAGGCATTGTTCTCGCTATTCAGTTGCTGTTGTTTCATGTGATTGCGATATGCGCTCATAGATTCACGCAACCCTCCACTGTCTGCGATACTCTCATCCTTGGTCTGATTGCCGTTAATATTGCGATTGATTTCGGGTATAAGATAATTATTGAAATGATCGACAAAGCACATGGAACGCTCGTTGAACACCTCGCCAGATTTCTTGGACCACCAATAGCGTGACGTGCCATTGCTATCGAAGGTGGCTCCAGTACTGTCGAAACCATGGGTCAGTTCATGGCCTACCAGGTAGCCAATGGTTCCAAACTTGAGTGAATTGGGCCACGCTTGATCGTAACTAGGCGGATGGAGTATGCCGGCCATAACATTAATGGAATTGTCCAAATTGTAATAGAACGCATTCACCTGCATGCCCACCAGCAGTTCCAGCGGCTTCGTATCATTCGTCAGCTCTTTATGGTGTATTCCGATGTAGCGCTTCAAATAGGTGCTAAAGCGTTTCAAATCAATATTGCTTGCGGGAAAGTTGTCTGGCTTAACAGTCAGATTATTCATTGCGCGTATAAGGCTTTCCGAAAGATTTTTATCCTGGAAGGCGCCGATGCGAGTCACAATTGTTGACTCCTTGAGCAGCGCCTCCTTGCGCGTCTCCGCGTCCAACCAATTGGCATTATCCAGCAACGTCAGTTGACTCTTGCGCAGCTCCGCAATGATGTTTGCAATCTCGACACTTGCCTCCTCCGTGAAATATTTCTAAGCAAATGGTAAAATCAATTAATTTGAATATAATATAGTTGATGAAATGCGAACCGCAAAGTAAAGCTTATCCAGCAGATAGGGTAGCGAGTACTGAATGGTGAGTATGCAATGATCGCGCTGGTATTTGGCAGCCTTCAACTTGGCATCCATGGTGTAAAGCAGCTTCATGGCCATGTAGTTAGCTGCAGCCTCCTTGTGCTTGGCGCACACCTTGTCCAGCTCGTAATAGAAAAAGTCACAGAAGCGCTCAAGTGGATACGGATTGAAATCTAGATTATTCCAGGCAATTTCATAGTATTGTTTCCATTGGGGAAATGGCTCTGTGGTATACTCGTCCGACAGCAGATCACATTTGTCCGAATCATCGTCGAAACGATCTGCAATCTTGAGGACTTCACGCCAGAAGGCGAAGATACCAGAGATCACATCGACTATCTTCTCCTCTGGCAGACCGTAAGCCTGTAAATATTCTCGCATACGTTTCTCATTCAATTTGTAGCCCGTGGTGTCATTTGTGATGATGTTGTCGGTGTGCACAATATAGTCGAAGCCCAACTCGGGCAGCTTGAAGTAAGGCATGAACGGATACTGTTGCAGGTTCTTTTCATAGATGAGTCCTTGGGCTCCATAGTTCGTTAAGTGGGAGCTCATGTTGAACCAGCTGAAATTCGAGGCCAGCCACGCTTCACCCTCGACAGCGGGGAAGCCACCAATTGACTTGATAAGCGCCAGATAAGCGGGGTCGGCCGCTGGCAACGGATAGAGCTCAGCGTTAAGGCATGCGTTATAGACTTGTTGTGTAATCCTCAGCTCAGCTCCATAACCCATATCCTCGGCCAGCGTTGTGTTCGCCAACAGCAGCTCTTCGGCCACATCGGCCAGCGTGTAAACAATGTCCAGTAGATTGCTACGCTTATGCTGCGATTGTCGCTCCTGCTTAACATTCTTCCAGTTGCCACATGCGTACTCATAAAAATCATCGCAGGGCGCCACGCTGCGATTCATATAACTTAGCATTTGGGTCGCGTAGGCTTTCAAATATTCTACATTGGGATTCGTTATAATGTTATCAATTATAGCGTCATCAATCTCTGGTTTAGACTCTGCTGCGGGCTTTGCTATTCCAACGCTGACCATTAAGGCAACAGCGCATATCAATAAATATATATTCTTAATCTCAAACATTTTCCTTTTCAACTGCGCGTTTACCCTTTCACAAATACAGAACGTGTAATCTACACAAACTAGTTTTTTAGTTTTGATTGATCGATTTGAATTAATGAAAATAGTTACGCGCTCTCGAGAGGAAACTTTTTGCGCGTCTACTTCATTCAGAACCTAACTCAAAACTGTATGGCCTGGCGGAAACACAAATTTGCTAGCATTAGCTCTCGCTGGTATTGTCCGCGTACGTCGTTGAGCTGATAACGAATTCATTATGTCGTTAAATCGAAAACATGACCTATTCTAAGCTCTGTAGATAATGTAGTATACTCTCTCATTAGCCAATTTAATGCTACATCCGTTTCGAAATTAATTGCGCGCCAAGCATTCAAACAAATGGATAGTTGCCAACACTAAGCTCATACTTTTTCAATCGATAAGCTCGATAAGTTTTAGATAACAATAATGAACGATGTGATGTATCCCAGCTGGACAAATGCAAATAAGTCTCATTACAAATTGTAGTTAGACTGAATTACGGTCTCTAATCAAAAGTTTTTTTTTTGACAATCACAATCATTTTATTACATAATAATTATTTGAAAACATTTGAAGTTTTACTATTCGCATATCGATTTCCTTCAAATGTACGGTCACTCAAATGCATAGGTTTTGCCTATCCAGCTTAAAAATTGCCGCCAATAACGATGTGGCAACGCTTAATGCACGAGTAATACACTACTTTTTGTTGCTGTTTGAATTGATGCAGGCATAAATATGTCGTTTTCAAGCGCCGGCGAATATCGCGTAGTTCTACAGCAATATAAGGTAACTTTTAAATGATAACAGCTAAAGCATTACAATTAATGTGTCATCACGCAGTATGCATCGCATCAAATAGTCTGCCTCTTCAAAATACTACCGGATACGGTTAGGCTTTTTGAAAAGGAACCGGAAAATGACTTCAACTGGATGACTGCTGCTCGTTGGAGTAAAATCGAAAGTGGACTCTGGCGCTTATTTGCCAGCATCAGCAATTGGCACGAAGATGCGCCCAAACTAAACACACAGATGCTCATAGATCACATCAAAGTGACGGTGAGCTCATCGAAGGAACTGCTGCCGGTGGCACAAAAACTACTGCCAGATGAGAAAAAGAACGGAAGTGCCTTAAGTGTGGAGATCGAGCTGCGCTATATGTCACACGAAGACGAAACAATCGTCGGCACCCAGACAACAAAGCGTAAGCACGTCGAAAGGGCAAAGGAAACAACACTAGAGGCTGATAAAGTGAAACTTCAACCTGTGCGCCCCAACAGCTCGAACAAGAAGAAGACACCTTCGAGAAGCAGGTAAAGATTACCATGTGCCGTTATAGAGTTTAATATAGTTTAACGTTTTATTTAGTAATTCAGAGCAGTCGCAGACGCCTGATAAAGGCAAACGCAAAGACTTGTTAAAGTCGAACAGAAAACGTGAGCGTAGATCCATTTCACAGGGCAGTCACAGTCAGAACAAGAACATGACGCCAATCACAAAAACGGAACAGACTTCGTCTCGCAACCGCACAGTTAAGCGCAGCAAAAGTCCAGGTTCACGGTATGCTGGAATATAACATTAATATATCTTCAATTTAATATCACTTAAACATTTGCAGCGCAACCTCCGTGGAGCCAAAGACTGAACGCCGTTCAGCTCGTTCCCCTGTGAGACCAAATCGTTATAATGAATTCGTTATGAGGTACGAAATTGGTAACCTGAACTCAACTATTTCGATGTATCTTTAAAAACTCTTTATTTTACAGCGATAAATCATCGCGCAAGCCAAAACAAAAACTAACTGATCAATTTTCCGACTCGACTAAACCAGTTAACAAGCAACAGAAACAAACAGATCCACAGCATGCTACCCAAAAGTGGACCCTTGAACAACTCGATGGAGCTAAAATTAATAGTGATGCGCTCAAGGAACTGAATGACATGCTTAAAGTACCCAAGCCGCGTGAAGTTAAGATTCTGTAAGACTTCATTTAATAGTGTATGTAGAGTTTCACTAGATATGTAGCAGGTATCAGAAAGATCGTATATTCTTAATCTGTAAGTTGAACTAGTCTTTGTGGTCTAAGTAGCCCAGTCATTTAGAGAACTGAGCAACGAGCATACTATTGTATGGAAGTAATGGATTAAAATCTTTTGACTAAAGTAAATTGCAATTTCCTTCAGCTCCTTATAGTACAGGTTATTTATATATAGACAGCATCATCAAATCAACTTTGGAGAATATTACAATGTTACAAATATGTTTGCAGTCTGCTCAAGGATATGGATGAGGCTTCTGTGCTGAGCACATTCGACAAATATCGCGAAGATTTCGATCGACTGTTCCAGGAGCGACAGCACAAATACCAAACTTCTAACTACATGTCCATCGATCACTATCACATAATGGACATTCTAAATAAAACAATACGCGATAGCATGATGAACAAACTGGCCGAGGCATATAATAAATCGGGCGTAAGTCGAACTAGCTCAGAATTATAGAGGTTCTGAAACCACATTTCTTTCGATGCAGCCACACGGTTCGCTGGTCATAAATGGTCTATTGCCACTTTGGATAATCCGTCTCTTCATGGACAAGTACAAGTTCACACAGCAGGAGGCAGTGCATCAGATTGCGGATCAACTTAAGTACGACACCTACCTCAGAGCTGTCAACAATGAGCCGATTAAATCGTATTTAGATGACTGATTCATTAGGCCACAAATAGTATTTATTTATCTATTTAAATTATTTCAATTTCCTTTAGATTTATTTGGAATCTACTCTGTTACGCATTTAATTCATTTATATATCTCATTTGTTTGCACAAAATAATAAAACTTAGCTATCTGAGCAAAACAACAGAGAGAGAGAGCAGGATTTTCATACTTAAATCTAAACAAGTATCTATGTTGATGTACTGTTGATGCAACGGTAGTGTATCCCTTGCGCACATGCGTAGGGTATGTACTCAGTCTGTCTTCCACAATCGTATATTTACACAATTCATATACATATATATATTTTTGCATGTGGGATGTTATAGAATGGGCATATGGGATGCGTGATCTCTGATGTTTTAGAGTTCATCATGCTGCTGCTCCTCGTCGTCCTCATCGACATTGCTGCTCGTCTCGCTGCTACCCTTGACCTCATCGCTGTCATCGTCATCCTCATCGAACTCAATTTCCTCATCCAGTGGCACGCCCAGAGTCTGACGCATCATACGTTCAATGCTGTCGGCAAAGTCGGAGGTCTCCTGGAGCATGTAACCGGAGCGCAGAGTGGAGGTGCGGAACATCATGACAGCCATATTCTTTGCCGTTTCATCAGCCTCATCGGCTTCGACGCGACGCAACAATTCACGCATCAGCGGATGTCTCGGATTAATCTCTAATGTTTTCTTCTGATTCAGATAGTAGCTACGCTGGGGATCATCGGCCTTTTGATGGGCGTTCGACATGGCTAGACGCTCCATGTTACCGGTCCAGCCGAAGACGCTGGCCACCAAAGCGCATGGCGAGTTGCTTAGACGCTCCGATACTTGGGCCTTGGCGATCTCGTTCTTGAGAGCAACATCACTCAACCATTTAACCAATGGCTCGAATGTGGTCTTCAATATCTCAAACTTCTCTTTGCTTTTCTCTGACTCGTTTAGCTTGAAGCCTTCCTTGGCAACATTCTGGAATTTCTTGCCATCGAATTCAGGCAGTGCAGATATACAATATTCATCAACGGCCTCGACCAAAAACAGCACCTCGTAGCCCTTGCTCAACAGACGTTCAACGAATGGCGACTTCTCGACCTCACCACGGTTGGCTCCGGCAATATAATAGATGTGCTCCTGCTTGGACTTCATGCGCTCCACATACTCGGCCAGCGAAGTAACGCCCTTGCCATTGGAGCTCTGGAAACGCAATAGCTTAGCCAGACGTGAACGATTGCTGGGATCCTCCATAACGCCCAATTTGATGCTGCGACGAAAGAGTTTTAGTATATTTTCTATATGAATTGAATTGCTTTAATTGTACTTACTTGGTGGAGAACTCCTTCCAGAACTTCTCGTATGCGGCTTTGTCGATCTTCTTAATCATGTCCAGTACCTTGCGCACCAGTTTCTTCTTGATAACCTTGATCAGTTTGTGCTGTTGCAGAGTTTCGCGGGAGACATTCAATGGCAGGTCATCAGAGTCGACCACGCCGCGAATGAAGCTCAAGTAGTTGGGCATCATGTCGTTGAACTCGTCAGTGATGAAGACACGGCGCACGTAGAGCTTAATGTTGTCAGATTTGGTGCCGTAGCGGTTGAAGGACTCCGATGGCTGAACCTTTGGAATGTACAGTAAACTCTTGAAGGTAACCTCACCCTCGGCTACGAAATGTGTTTGGGTTAGGGGTTCACTTGAGTCCTTGGTCAGACTCTTATAGAATGCATTGTATTCCTCTTCGGTGACTTCGGCAGGCTTGCGTGTCCAGATGGGTTTGCTATCATTGATCAGCAGCCAATCCCAGATGGTCTTTGAAACCTTCTTGGTTTTGGGCTTATCCTGCTCGTTATCTTCCTCAACCTTGGCATCTTCGTCAGCATCCTCGACATCATCTTCGGTCTTAGTGGCTTCAGGTGCTTCATCCTCGACAGGCACCTCCTCATCGACAGTCTTGCTGGACCACATCATGATGGGGAAGTTAATGAACTGCGAGTATTTGCGAATCAATTCACGAACGGTGTCTTCCTCTAAAAAGTCCTGGGCCTCGTCCTTAAGATACAGCGAAATGATTGAGCCACGCTTAAGCGTATCGCCACGGGGATCTTCTGTAATGGAGAAGCTATTGGCATCCGACTCCCAGACGTACTGCTTGTCATCGTTGTGCTTCGTGGTGACCACAACACGATCAGCGACCAGGAAGGCCGAATAGAAGCCCACACCAAACTGTCCAATCATATCATTCAAATCCTGACCCTCCGATTTGCTCGGATCCTGCATTTTGGCCAGGAAATCCGCCGTACCAGACTTGGCAATTGTGCCCAAATTATTAATAAGATCCTGATGGGTCATGCCAATGCCCGAATCCAAAATGTGCAGCACTTTGTTCTCCTTGTCAGCCTTGATTCGTATGTGCAATTCTGGATTTGATTCAAGCTCCTTACGGTTAGTCAGCGCCAGCAAACGAATCTTGTCAATGGCATCGGAGGCGTTTGAGATCAACTCACGCAAAAAGATCTCCTTGTTGCGATACAGGGAGTTAATAATCAGCTTCATCATGCGATTCACCTCGGTTTGGAATGTAAACTTTTCAGCCTATTCAAAAATACGAACATAAAAATATCCATTTAATAAGGGCAAAAAAACCGAAATAATTAAAGATTAAATGGTATTCATTAGTCGATCACTTCTGATTAGATATGGCTAATTTGTGAATGGGGGCGTATATGCATGTATATTTATATATATATATATATATAGATACACCCATTCACACGTGTGTGTGCATATGCACTATTAAATAAGCATAAGGTATTTGCTAGTCGATCAATCACTGTATACAGAATTGAGCATATTTATGAATGAGGTTTGTGCCTCTGTATATTTATTAATGTGTGATTAAGTAAATATATAAATATAAATATATGTTTGTGCGTGCCTACCTTTTCGCGTATTTCTTTCAGCTGCGCCACATTGAGACCATCCAGTTGAATAGCTTCTTCTTCGCGCTTTAACGTTTCAGCATCTATAGTAAAATTTATATGTATATATGTATATGACTAAGGTATTTGTATGAAGATAAGGGGCGTAAGCATGGACAACGGTAAAAAGTTAACGCTGACGTGTACAAAAGAAAACGGCTGCTGACCGGCAGGGGGCGTATACGCTCTGACTCTTACCTGTTCTAGAGCCTTCCTTAAAGGCACCCATATCCAGATCTATCGTCTCGACGCTGTCCGCTTCATCAGCCACAATCTGATTTATGCCTAATATCGCAAAAATTCCCATAATATAAATATATTTGTTTAAATTAAAAACTAGGTTAAAGTGCCGGCAACAAATTTGAAGCGTGGCATTGCAATGAAATATGTATGTACCTGCTAAAAGCAAAAGGCCGAGCAGCAATAACTGCTTCATATTTATATTATTTACAACTTGATTGATAAATCGTTTTAAATTGCCTTCTGGCCACGTCAGTTGAACGACTTCAGATCACCACCAGAATCCGTTGTAACTAACTACCCACGTCAGAAGTTGACCGACCTAACGCTTTTCGCACACAAAAATGACGCCGTCGCGTCGCAGACAAAGCATATAAATATGGTGCAAGAGCGTTGCCAGCTTACGAAAAGAACAGTTATTTTATAGTTACAAGACTTGCGCTAACAATGTTGTTCACAAAATATGTCCCACACGGCTTATTTTTTGTTAATTTTTTGAAATTAAACAATTAAAATGAACTATTTGTGCTGCTTGCAACAAATTAAAAAAACTATACTATATATACATCGGAATATAAATATCGAAATATTTTATTCAGGGCTGGTAAAGTAGACAGGGCAGGGTAGCATTCGATAACGGTCAGTTCAAGCTGTTTTTGACATTTCTTTTTAACTGCGTTCTGCTCCCATGCTCACATACACACACACACACGCACACACGTGCACTTAGCTCAACTCGCAAGCACGATTTGAGATTTGTAGTTGGCTAAAAAGTTAAATGATTTTACATACATTCAGCATTTGTGTGAGTTAGTTATCATATATATACCAAATACAATATATATTTTTTATAATTTAGTTCATCTTCTAGAACACATTTTATAGAATGCGCCACGGCAGCAGCGCACAGTGACAGCAGCAGCAGCAGCAGCAGCAGTAGTAGTAGAAGCAGCAGCAGCAGCAGCAGCGAGACGCTCGAGTGCGAGCGAGCAGCAACAAAATCGGCAACGGATAGCAACATTTCATTGTTGTTCGTCGTGTGTGGAGGTGGTGCACCCGTCAATTATAGTTTCGCGTAGTCCTATACATCCGCCGTCCTCTACTTACATACACACCTACACATAAGACCGCTAGCACGAAAAAGGCCCGATACCGTGTTATACAACAAAATTATTAGTGTGCAAATTAAAGTACGCCGGCAATCGATGTGAACTTGTCCTTCAACTTCAACCTAGTTACGTGCCCCCACAACAAATTCACCACAAATAATAATACCAACGCTAACATTAAGCGTACGCGTGTGTGTGTTTATGCACTTGTTTTAGCGTGTGTGTGTGTGTGCGCGCAACGTAAGGCAATATCATCTAAAGTGCGTGCTCGCGCTCGCTTATCAGCTGCTCGCTGGTGGCAGTACCCATAAACTCGCTGCGAAAGTTGTGGCGAAAGGCAGAAGCGAAGAGAAATCACACTGTCAAAGCAAAAGAAACGCCAATAACGCAAACGCCTGCTCACAAAAATTTTTTTTTGTTAATTGTAAAAGAGATTCTGTTAAGAATTTTATTTGGGAAACCAAAGTCAATTCCAAATTCCAACAGAGGCCAACGCTATGAATATGGATGACTACGAATCGCTGCCGACGACCAGCGTCGGTATTAATATGACTGCTGGCGCGCTAGCGGGCGTATTGGAGCATGTTGTCATGTATCCGCTGGACTCTGTTAAGGTGAGTGTGTGTCAGTAAATGTGATGGTGATGTTGGTTTTCACTTTTCCAATGAATGCCAAAAGCTGTGT